ACGTCGACTGCGTAAACGGCTGTGAAAARAGATGGTCTTGTCTACAGAAGACGTATGTTTACGTGACCACGCGATGCCTCATGGTGATACGTTTTATATCACATCGTCTCAGTATCACATCGCTACAGTTGTTTTTTTCAAGGTATAACTTCATAAAATTTAGCATATTAGAAAAACGTTACAAGAAAAATAAATTAAAACCATTAATAATTTGGGTTTAGCTCCTACGGAGCCCGTGAGGGGACATGGGGGGATATTTTTTTTGCGTTCCCACGCAATACCTTTGCGTTACCTCGCAATACTCTTGCGTTACCTTGCAATACTTTTGCGTTACCTCGCAATATTGTTTTGCGTTCCCACGCAAAAGTTTGATTTGTATATGAACGGAATTAAATCAGACTTTTATTTTGAAATATCCGGTTCCAAAACAGGATGTGCTGCCACAAGTTTGTGACTTGACATTGATGTTGCGTGGCTGTACTGTGTTAAAATATCGACATATGACATACTTCCATGTGTGGCTGTGTGATATATTCATTCTAAAGCTGAATTAAAGCCGTAGGCTAACTCGCTAATGGTGCGCTAATGGTGAACATTTGAGTTTGTTAATAAACCGGCAGGCACAACAGTGATAAACGACTTTTGCGAGGGAACGTAATACTTTTGCGTGGGAACGCAAAAAGAAAAAAAAAMCCCCATGTCCCCTCGCGGGCTCCGTAAGCTCCAGTATCAGTGTTTGTAACTGCATTTTATTTAACATCTCATTGCAACAAAAGTTTCATCATCTGAATTGTTTAACTTATATTTTTCAGTCTGTGATAAATTTCCAAACTGTGTCATTAAAAAAAAACTTTGCCATCAAATAATGATAATAATAAAGAAATCCCATGAATTCTGTGATACCATCGGCCGTGTAGCATACTCAGACACAGGCAACATTTTGGGGATTTGTTGGCCTACAGCGCGGGGTGGTGATGCAAGCGGCTGACAAATGTGGCCGACGTCGGCTGCAGCTCATAAACTGAGACACAACCGTAGTCTCATTAGAATCAGCCTTTTTATAGACATTAAATTTATAACACCCAATTTTTATACGTTGTAATTGTGATTTTTTTTCTTTTACTTCAAATTCACCGGTGAAAATTTCACCTGTAAAAATATGCCTGAAAATATTCAACTGCAAATGTGTTGACCTTCTGGTGACTCAAGCCACCTGCACCAGATCAAGTCGAGTGACTTTAACCAATCACATTACACAAATTTGATCATGTGAAACACCAATAAAAAAAATTCAGGAGAGGTTTTGCAGGTGAAATTTTTTGCTGGCAATTTTAAAGTGAAAAATTACATACAAGAGATAAAAATTCTGTTATAAATTCAATGTCTAAAAAAAGGGCTGATTTTAATGAAACTGCATCCTTCCATATTCTTTCAGTGATTGTTTTTATTACCGTATTTTTCGGACTATAAGCCGCACCGGACTATAAGCCGCACCCGCCATTTAAAAAAAAAAATCCGCGAACATTAACATATAAGCCGCACCGGACTATAAATTGCACCCCCAACATAAAAACAAACAGTACACCCAAATTTGCTGTCAAAAAAGTGAAGTCAACATCAAAACATAAAAAGCAAACCTTTAGGAATTAAAGTTCGGAGGAATACGGTTCATTTAACTGACCTTATTTTGGTAGTTTTCTTTAACAGTTTCTGGTCCAACAAAACGTCTCATTCATCTTCCTCCGGCGCACTGAAACCATCGAAGTCCTCCTCTTCAGTGTCGGAGTTAAACAAGCTGAGAAAAGCTGCGTCACACAGCGGTATCTGTTCAGTGTTGCTTTCTGTGTCGCTGTCCTCCCGGGGTAATGCTGGCTCTGAAGCTGTGGTGGGAAAGCCCTCCCGCTCCAGCATACGTCACTGCATGGGATTCCTTCCCCGGGGAGTGCAATGAGGAAAAAAAAGGTCTGCGGCTCTTCACTCGAACGTTTATCCACAAACTGGTCCTGGATTAAGCTCCAAAGTTTTTATCAGTCAGATTCCACCGTGAAAAATGTCTGTTTTATCCCCTTTTATGAGTTTTTGGCCATTGACTATCTTTAAAYCGCTGCTTCCTGGTCAACAGTCGGCTCTGGAAGCGATCGCTTTTTTGTCTTTTTTTTCCTTTCTTTTTTTGAAGCGAGTGGTTGAAGCAAATGGAGCATAAGAGCCCACTGGTGGCTGAAGAAAAAAATCCATGTATAAGACGCACTGGTCTATAAGCCGCATGGTTCAAAGTTCAGGAAGAAAGTCGTGGCTTATAGTCCGAAAAATCTGGTAAGTTTTATTAAAATTCATTCAGCAGTTGATGAGGTATTTTGCTAACAGAGACACAAACATGCACACTCAAACACCACATTCAGTCTTCGCAGGCGATAAAAATGCATCAAAACGACACCGTTCTCAAATTTTTTGACATTTTTAATGACAGTTTTTGTAAAACCTTGCATCAACATCAGACTCCATGAGCTCACATTTACGTTTTTGACAGCCAAGCCTTTGGATTCAACTGATGAACGTTTCGATCTCTTCGGCTCGCGCCACAAAATTTAGCTCAATGGGAAACGACAAGCAATGCTGGTAGACCAGTGAGATAAAGGATATTGCCTCGCCTGTCAAGTTTTTTGTACATGAACATACAACAGAGGCATCAACGCCGGGATCGGCCTGCTTGTCGCGGTTTTATTTGGTCTTCTAAAACCCTGAACAAGAGTTCAAACAGGTCAAACCAAGGACAGTAGAAGGAGCCTACCCAGCATGCTTGTCATTTTTATACAGCAGGGAACAGAGTCAACAGACAGCGAGAGTTGTGGGACCGAACGTGGGTTGTGTTACATGATGAGGAGGATACACATCTGGAGACAATTAGTGGATAAATGATTTGCTCAGCCCACAAGCTTTCATCAACATCATGCCCTCAAGATGATCAAGCCCACTTGAGGCAAGATGAGTGAAGCACAGCCTGGTTTTCCAGCGAAGGTGCAACATTTAATTTTGACTTACAAGCACCTCAACGCTCTTCATTATTCCAGCGTCTGATCGACTGCAGCTGCACAGCTCCGTACATTCATTTACTGCCCATCATTAAGGTGCCTCTGAGGTCATTTATTATCATTTCTTTATTGAGTCTGAAATTTTGTTTCAGACTAAGTGAAAAATATCAAGTAGTGAAATGAAATCAGTTCACAATGCAAACAAATAAAAAATGATAATATTGACATAAATGTGTAAACCTTTTTAGAACAAGTTGATATACATTGATTATATGATAATCATTGTATATCAACTTGTTCTAAAAAGTTGAAATATATTGATTATATGATAATCTCCCAGCTAGATTGATGGTTTAATCTGACTAATAAATCTGTAATCCTTACAGGTAATTTATCATGGTTGCAGACTTTATTATGTCAGCTGGACACAGCAGAAATGCCTGATTATGTTGGTGGTTTTTATTAGAGCGCGTCTTGTTCCAACCATAGACTGTATATATCTAGAACACAGATGAGAATCTGGAAGTTGAAGCCAACCAGCTTTCAGGACAGGTTTTAAATTCTGGTGTTGACGTAAACCAGCAGAACGCTGCTTTCAGTAAAAACAACAACAACAAAAAACTACACCTCGTGACTTCATTTGGTGATTCTTGCTAATTTATATATTTCTTATATTGTTGCTGTATTTAAAAATATAAGTTTAGCTCTCATTAGTTATTTCCTGTTTTAAAGGAAAGTCATGTGACTCCAAGATTGTGTTGGTGGGAGGAGGCGGAGCCTAAAGCCTTGCTTCCTTAGTGAGCAGACGTTACAAAAACACAACTAGAGATGGGATAAAAGGCTCTTTGAAGGGATCCGGATCTTGGGGAGCCGTTTGTTTCATAGAGCCACTCAAACGAGCCATTCGATTTTGAATATATTACATCATCACATAGCCATATGCAGGGGTGTCGCTAGGTTTTAAGGACAAGGGGGGCTTAGCCCCCAGGAGACGCACAGAATTTTTGTTGATTGAATAACGGAGGATCTCTACCTTACACTATAAATTAAAGGGAAAATGACAGATTTATGATCATATATTTTAGTTAATAATTAAATATTAAATGATTATTTATTCTAACCACATCATATTGAATTTTTGTAAAATAAATAAATAAATAAAATAAATTTTTTTACACCAAAATAATTTAGGGGGGCTTTAAAACATTTTAGGCAGGCTCCAGCCCCACTAAAATAGGCCTAGTGATGCCACTGGCCGTATGTAATGACGTAATCTCATCACGTGGGTGGAACCATGTGTTAAGTGGAAACCTGCCTCCCCCTTTCACCGTGAGCTTCTGTACTCCACAACTCCGTCTGTTGTCCATGAAAAAGCAAAGCAGGAGCGATTTTAAGTATGGAAAAAATAAAGATTATGTGAGGAATAAAAGAAATAAAACTACAAATGGCTCRTTAATGCCCACGATTCGGCTYCTATCGTTCGTTGTAAAGAGCCGTTCAAAAGATTYGGATTGTTCGCGAACGTCACRTCTCTAAACACAACGTGGCAGCTTCCAGATGGTTCCACTGGTCTCATTTTTTATTTTAAAATCAGTTCTGTTCAAGATATTGATTTTATTTTTCATCTGTTCACAATTTTAGTGTTAAAGGTTCTTAGTGTGTATAGTTAGAGCTACAGTCAAAAACTGTTATGTTACAGGTATAAAGAGAAAAACTGGTAATTACATTATTTCTGCCAAAACCAGCTCAATTATTTAATCGATTACTTCAATTTTGTGTATTATTTTTGTATATTATTGATGTTTATTTCATTTGACTGTGAAAACTTGGTGCTAAATCATGAACGCACAGAATTAGAAATGCAAAATCTCTGCTATAAAGTGACCACAATGTAGTGAATGTTTTAAAATCAGCCTTGATATAATAATATATACAGTCTATGGTTTCAACAAAGAATACTAAAAATAAACATTTTTTTAAAACTTCGAAAAAAAAAAACTTTGCAAACTTTATTTAAATATGAACTACTTTTTACATTTATCGTTCTTATATATGTGTGCTGGTCTGCACGATAATTATTTAGTCAAGTTTAAAATATAATACTTTTAGGACCTGCCACACACACACATAAAAAAACATCTGTTKTCCAACAAGGCAACAAAACTACAGTATGTTGAAATTCCACACCAGCAACATTTGCATGATTTCCCGTGTCTTTGATGGTGATTCATCAAAGCTTCCGTTAGCTTCCCGCCACTCGCGAGTCTGCGAGACTCTGCTGACAGGACAACAGCTCTCCAGGATGAGTCACCACCTTTTTCTTTTGAGCACCCACTTCATTTACAATTCTATTTCATTCAACCCACCAAAAATCCACTGCATTGTCCCCAAACAGTATGCACTCCAGGGCCCCCGTGAGACCGGCGCACAACAGGCTGAATATTAGACGGATGAAAGGGATGAGCACAGTCTGAAAGCTTGTTGACAGAATTCGAGGGCTGAGTCGGTATCTGCTACATGTTTTGTCCACAGGATGGGGCTACCGTGATACAAAGTACTACAAAACCTCTTGTTCTTGTACAAAAAGAAGAAGAAAAAAAAGAATAAAACCCAAACACTTGTAGAAATCCTGCCTCTTTGAACAACAACTTATACAGATTGAAAACAGCGTGAGGACTGACGCGGTGAAGGACTCTGATACATTTCTTGCGGAGGCTTCGAACAGAAAGAGGCATGTAGAAAGTTCTTTACAACGGCAGAACTTTGGCACGAGAAAGGCATTACAGAAGAAAATGATGAGTATTTGACAAGGTCAGCATAGATGATTGCAAACTAAATATCACTTTTATACATCTTTATTTTCTTTTTAATAAAATCATATGGCACTGACTACTGTTTCATGTGTCTGTGTGAGAGAAGTGTTTTTTTTCTTCTTTTTTTTCTTTAAACAATTGGAGGGAAACTCAAGCCATTGAAGGGAGGGGCTGATTGGGTCACACACATGAAGGTAAGACAAAGGGCTTCGACAACAGAAAAAACTACGACTTGTTTTTTTTACTGTCCAAACAGAGTTTTCCCTTTAGCACAAGAGTTAAAGTGTGTAAAATAAGAATGTCAGTGTGTGTGTGTGTGTGTGTTTACGCATATTCACGTGTGTTCTGGTATGCCCCAGACTAATATACTGGATTTTTTTTTTTATTATAATTATTATTTTTTTGTCACAAACCTGCTTGGGCCAGCTTTCACTTTACATACCAGCCCAAACCGGAGCGTCCAGTTTTCAGCTCCCTTCCAAGAAGTAAATGTCACAGTGAGGTGACACTGCTCAGGTATCTACATTTCCACAGGAAACATCTGTCTACATAAGCAAGTGGGTTCAAAAGGAATCCTGTTTGTACTGCTAACCTCAGTTTGTAGTTATGTCAGCACTAATTTGACCCTTGCCCCACTCCCCCCCACGGTTTATTGAGGCTTTGCTCGGGGGGGTGCTGTCAGCGTTCATGCCATGGTTTCCTTTCCTGGGAGTCTCCTGTCGTTGAACGTGTGCATGTTAATGACTTCCTCGGTCTTGACAATGGCGGGCGGCTGAGGCTTTTGTTTCAGGCGGCGTTGGCACTTCAGAGACACGCGCAGCTCATCCATCATGGCGCTGCAGAAGGAGCGCTGCAGAAGAAAAACAGAGAGGGTGGGTGGGTGAAGTGTACCAGGTGCCACRGTGTTCGTCGTGTACAGTGCTGCGCAAAAGTCATCCTCCTTTTTATTTATTATTTTTTTAAATAATTAGTCTCCAAGGAGCCAGACTTTTCTTGTAATACTGCTGTGGTCTTTATCAGTATTTCTCCAGGCTCTGAAGCTCTTTCAGAGTTTTTCCTTTTGACTTTAGCTAATTTTCAGTGACCATTCATTTTTTATTCAGCCACATAATCCATAAATTAAAGTGTAAAATAGCTCCTAAACTCGGGACAAGTCAGTGTTGTGTCTACAGACAACTTAAGCTGATTCGGATGTTATCATCCATTAAATGGACGTTATTAGCTGTTATCAGTCCCATAGAATGGCTTCAGACTGTCCCGACAGTGCCCCCTAGTGGGTTACCAGTGCCATATACGTTGGAATGCAACAATCTGCTACTGCCGGAGTCCGGTCTGCTTTATCGTAGGCCATGTCATTTTCTCTAAAATTAACCTTAGTGGCTTTATGCTTCATACTAACCAGCTGACAGTCTGAAGCCATTCTATGGGACTGATAACGGCTAATAAAGTCCATTTAATGGATGATAACATCCGAAGCGCGTGATAAGTTTTACTCCACTTATTTGTTTCCCACAGTCTGTTACAAAGTTGCTTGCTCTCTTTTTTTTTTGTTGAAATGTAAGCCAAGTGTAAAACAAAATGTTAAATGTCAAACGTATTTTTATTATTTACCTCACTTCCTAAAAGTAAAGTCCTACTAACATTTTATTTAGCTCACCGTTCTTACATGTGGCTAATTTTTAACTAAATGTTAAATATGAACACAGTTTGAATTTAGATCTTGAAGGCCATCTTTGGTAGCATTAGTCGTGTTAGCAGCTGTTAGCATTAGCTATTGAAGATGATGTCATTATCCTGATACAGATGTCTACGCTAACTGTTGCTAATGCTGCTGAAGATGGTATTTAAAATCTAAAATGTAAATGTGTTTGAATGATGGAAATTTATGTCCTATAGGGAAGCGTTAGCTGCGTTCACGCATTAGTGTTTGCTATTGTCGCAGGATGATGATGTCATCATAAGAGCCACGCACAAACAGCAAAGGCTGCGTTCCATTATGAAATACTTAAATGTTAACTTTAAAATTTCACCACATCATTTAAGATTTAACATTTAAATTTAGATATACACATTTAGATTGTGGATTGAGTATTTACATATAATATTTGACATTTAAATTGAATTTTTAGAAAAAATAAGCTAAATGTAAGAACAGTGAGCTAACAATAAAATGTTAGTCGAATTCAGGAATTGACACTAACATTTTATTACTTGCCACCATGTAAAGATAACATGGTTTGATGCACAAAAATTTGCATTTTAGCATCAAAAAGTTAATTCCTAAATTTGCTGAACAGCTGACAGAAGATGCAGATTTCATGCCCTTTTTTAAATTTAATTTGTTGTGTTGTTTCTCTCCTTTTTCTCTTTCTGTTTTCTTTAATGCTTCTTGTTTATACTCCTTGTCCACACTACCCAATATGCTATTATAGTCAGACACAAGAACTGGACAAAAACAAATAAAAAAAGACTCTGCAAGATTGATTCAAACCACTTTCAATTATTACAAGAAAGCTTCTCCCCTTGGAAGTAAAACTTTTTGCACAGCACTATCAGCAAATGGAACATCAATTTGACATTAATGACGAGCCAACGACGTGAGTTCAAATAAACGGTTAACACTCGACACACGAAGCAGATTCCTGAATGTCACGTGTCGTTATATGAATTCAATAAAACGAGAAAGGAGACGTTGAATTAGATTTTGTTTGTTTAAAGATTTAATCCTTTTTTATGAGCTTGGCTGAAAAAAAAGAACGGATCCTCAGAGGAAAAAGTGGAGATGAAATGAAGTGAATAAGAAAAGAAAAGGACTTCAGGCCATATTGCTCCGAGGATCATAACACTGCTCCTGCTTAGCATAATGATATTTGTATTTTTCCTGTTTTTGGTCAGAAAATAAAAACAATAATCTTATTAGACTAGACTGGTGTAAAAAAAAAGTCAATTTGTCCAGTGTTAGAAGTCCTGAGTAAATTTGCAAAAGGTTTGTTCTCAAAATGATAGTATTGCTTATAAATTAAATAATTCACTGCGGACTCCAGTGATTTAAGTTGGCATTTTGCACAGACTGATCCCAGGGGTTACAGAAACAAAACATCAGTTATTCTGACTTTTATACATGGAATTTACTAAGACGCCAATATTACAGCTCAAAGCATTAAACTGACATTATCCCTAAAAATACAAAGTTACTAATTTAATGTTTAATAGATGATTACGCTTTGGGRATTATCTCTGACAAAACAGCAACGAAAGTAAGAAAACTTCAGGAACAAAACTAATTCTGTTGAACAACGTTTGACAGATTAAACATTATAAGCAGAAAAAACTGGCGTTTTTGTTCAGTTCCTTAACTCTCTTTGAAAATCTCTGATTTACAAGTGTCTGTTCCAGATCTTGTGCCATCAGCTCCACTGTCACACAAAAGTCTAAATATTGTTTCACAGCCTTTCGCTCTSTGCCAAGAACTAAATCCAGGGAGAAACGTGTAAGAAAATGTAATGATGGCACCTCGAGGACAACGTATCCACTTAAGAAGATTAAGTCCAAAAATATTGGTAACCCCCCCGTTGGAAACATCTCCGGCGTTACGTAACGCCGCTGATATGAGCTTCTGTTTGTCTCTGAATTATGCATGCRCTGTAAAATCCTATAAAACGTCAATATGCCTTTGCACCAACTTCGCCAAATCCAATTCCAATGCATTCCTGTCCTGATTATGCAAAATGCAATTCAAATTCAAAGGGTGTAGGAGGGGAGAGGATATAAAAGAAACGCAAGAGCATTCAGATATGAAGCTATTATTTTTTGTTTGTGTATGTGTGTGGGTGTGTGAGATTGATATCTGTAGATGGCTCAGGCACCAGGTAGTTTTTGTTTTTCCCTCCAGTTTTACATAAGAATGAGATTTTTTTTCTTTTAATTCAAAAAGTGGATTGATTAAGTAGAGAAGTGCAAGGGAGAGAAACTAAACATATTAAAAAAACAGAATGATGGTTTGGAAAAAAAAAGGGGTGACGTTCGAGTCGAGGAGTCTGGCAGAGAGGAGAAGAGGAGGTTTGTTGTCTGTATGCAAATTACCAGCACCTTGGAAGCCTAGAAATCATGGCATTTGCACATCATCTGAATATTGTGACCCAGTCCTGCAGCTCTTGATTAATGATAGCTATGACGTGCGTTCGGTGAAAACAGCAAGAAATAATTACAATGGAAATATAGCAGCACACTGCTGCGCTATGCTAATTCTCTAGATGTAAATAATTAAAGGACGCTATCAAGGGACTTTAACAATTATGCTGAAATACAATTGTGCCTATTATAGAGCACTAAAATAAACGCTCCATTCTGTGTGATGATTCATGTGCACTCATGTACTAAAATAGAGCGCAGATAAAAGACAGCAGAGTGTATTCTGTCTCTTTCTACAAACATGACCAGAGGAGAGAGGAATGCTGCAGAAAACACTGCTCTGGAAGGCAGATTAAAAGCCATTTCCACATGCAATAATAATTATTCTCAGGTGGTCACATTTACAGTGACAGAGCTGCTGTAAGTGCTCCATCCGCTCACTCAAAACAACTGTAAATGAAGCGATGTGTGGGCAGGAAAAAAGCAAAAAAGAATCCACTTACGAGTGATAAATCGTTGGCAAAAACAGTTTGAAAGCTTTTCTGAAGAACAGCCGGATAATTGGATGACATTTTTGGAACTTAAAACAGCTGAAAAACGGTTCTGCAGATGCAATCGATGAAAAAACACCACCACCGTTGACGCCTGTCGGCCCTAAAAGGCCGCCAGCGGCTGCCAGGCTCGAGATCGGATTGGTCCAAACTTTCACCTGTTGCAGTAAAACAATAATTTGACCCAAAAACAGTTTTTGTGATTTTCGTCCTGTGAGAATCACTTTTTGATTGTTTGTTTTCATGAAATGTTTCAATCTGAAACTCCTTTACTAATCTACAGATAATGGGCTCCTGCTAAGTGTAAAATAAATTAMCAAATGTCACTAGCTTGTTTTTATTATTTAGCTCACTTTCTGAGTGTTAAATCCTAATAAAAAATCCACTAACATTTCATTGTTATTGAGCTCACTGTTTTGACATTTTACTAATTTTTACTAAATCTAAATGTAAAAGATAAATTTAAAAGTTTACATTTATGTATTTCAGATGGGGAACACAGCCTTTGCCATTGGTGTGAGTTTGTTGTGACATCATCATCCTGAGACTAAAGCAAAAGCTAACGCTGCTAACTSTGCTAATATCCTACAAGACYWMA